CTTTTTTAAAATGCTCTGATGAATTGTCAACTCAGCAATCGTCTATTTATTTAATATATATTCTAACAACTAATTTTTTACAATTAAATTTTTTTAAATTTGTTGCCTTATTAAGAATATTTGTTTTAACTAATTTCATAAGAGAAGGTACGAGGCCATTCTCGCATCAAAGCTTCAGTCTCCAGGCCTTGAAGAATTTTGGCCTTCCTTCTTCTTAATAGCTCACTTTCTTTCTTGTGCTCTTCTTCAGCGGCTTCAATAATCAATGACAAATCAGAATTCTCCAAGCAATCTTCAGAATCAGAACCTGGTGAAACAGAGGATCCAATTTCGGGCTGCTCTTCCTTCCAATCAAAATCAAAAAATAAGTTTCCCGAACCCAGAGCCTCTTTTTCAAACTCTCTTAAAAGACGTTCTCTAGGAGACTTGGCATCACTATCAGAACTCATGCTACAGTCCATACCAAGGATGTTTAAGAAATCACTCGACATTGTAATCTTTGGTGGGGGCTTATGAAAGTAAAGGGCTTTGCGTAGTTCTTCAATGTCACGCAACAACTCACCATTGTTGGAATTCCCACCACTGTAATCTTCCCTACTCTCAGTTTTCTGCAACATGATATCTTATCTTTGCATACAAATTAATCTAATTACACCATATCCAACCAAACCCACCATGGAAACTTGTAAATAATTCAACTTTTCTCTAAAACCCCCTACAGATTTTTTTGAATAACACTTCAAAAACTGGAACTGATTAATCGAATGAGAAATGCTGAAAATATGATAAAAAACTGCAAATTTACAATACCAACAAGGACCGAGCGTCTCTTGGCCGGAGGAACGTCGCTCGGCTTCTCAGTCGATGAACACCTGGATGGCTTGCTCGGGCGAGCCGTGTGGTTGGTTTCGGGTATTTTCTCGGGAATCGTGTGAAGATTTTGCGGGTAAAACTTTAACGTGACGAATTTAAAGGTGATGGAAAATAGAAGTTTTGTCTTCTGTGTGTTGTACGGTGGAGTAAGTAGAGTTGTAATTAGAGCACTTCCAGCGTGGGCTGGAGCTCGGGGGAGAGGCAGCAAACATGGTCTGAGAGCCCGGTCTATTGACTCCAGCGTGTGGGAGCCCGAGGGACAAGGCATGCCCGTGTACCAGGCTTGTCACGAATTGCCAGCCAGCGAGCCCGAAGGCTATTTGACGCAACGCTGACGTCAGCCAGACGTCAGATCCTTTTTTTATTTTTTTCTGTCAGGTGCGTGCAATGCATCCGCACGTGGGGGCACGTCACCCGACATGTTTTCAGCGAATGGGGCCCGCGGCGCAGTTTCAAATTGTTACCATTGGGAAGCCACGTGGCTTCCCATGGTCTGTTGGATCTCAACGACGCTTATTTAATATCAACCGTTGGATCTGAGATCAACAGTTGATATTATTCTCTTTTATAAATAAATAAAAAAAAAAAGTTTTAAAATTCAGAAATGTTGCCGTTATGCCACGTGGCACAATCTAGAGTGTTGGAATTAAATTTTTTTAAATCCAATGGCAGAGATTAATTAGTTGAATAAAAAAATTTAAAAAATTGTAAAAAAATGAATAAAAATTAGAAGAAAAAAAAATTGTTTTTACTTTTCTATAAATACCTTCTCATTATCATTTACCTTACACCACAATTTCATATTTTCTCAACTACTTTCAACCACATTCCTATCTTTGTCTCAAAGTTTCAATCCAATCTTTTTCAACAAAATGATTACTGATGCATGTACAAATTGGACGCTTTTTGAAGATGTTGCGTTGTGTACTAGCTGGGTTGAAGCTACTCATAGTTTGCTTACGGGTAATGAGATGCAGTTGCGAGAAATGTGGAGTCTTATTCATACCAATTATCTTGAGAAAATGGGTGAGAAAAGAACCAAATAATTGATGTCCAATCGTTGGAAATTACTTAGCCAATCGTTTAGTACGTGGAGAGATGCCTTAGCACAAGCTAGTACTAATCTTTGAAGTGGGAAAAATTACGCGGATCAGGTAACAATATATTATTTATATGTTTGTACTATACCCAAATTTACATTATAATTATTTGTTTGTATTATTTATTTGTTACCTACTTTCATTATAATTATTTCTTATCCCGCATTGTGTAGCAACTTCAAGCACAAGCTTGGTATGGTGCCAAAACCAAAAGCAAAAATAAATCATTAAACCAGTTGGAATGTTGGAATATTGTCAAAGATTGTCCTAAATTCAAAGTTGTGCTTGTCAGTCAAGAAGTTCTCATGAACAGCACCCATTTACACTCTACAATTGATCATGCCTTGCATGTTCACGAAGATGAAGCAGAAGAAGTGCCCGAAACGCCCCCCTGAACAAGCGTCAGGATCGACCCGTTATCTAATTAGGTCTCGAGGTAAGAAGACTTCAAAGAGAAAAGGGAGTGCTTCCAAGAATGATTATGCAAAGTATATGGAAGAACTTGCTCACTAAGGTAAATTGACTTTGGTGCGGGAAATGGCGAAATTTGAGGCTAATAAGGCTACAGGAGGCAAAAGCTGCAAATGTTGAGATAGCATTTCAAGCTAATGAGAGAGAAAGAGAGCTACTTAGGCAAGAAATGAAACAGGTTAAAGAAGAAATAATGGCTCAACGAGATCGTGACATTATGGCCACCCCTTTAGAAGGGAAGGTCTCCAAATTCTAAATATTTTTGGAAGTCGGAGAAAGCGGAAGTGGTGCGAATGAGGCGTGCAAGAGAAGCGAGAGCAAGAAGAGATGGTCCTAGCGCGACAAGAGAATATCATCCTAGCACCACAAATTGGTTAGTGAATAGAGTACTTTTTGTAATCGGAGCCCATAATTTTCCAATCACTTTGGGTTGTAATTTTTTATTTATTGAATAGAGTACTTTATTTAAACTAATAGTATATTTATTTAATTTGGTAATTTATTTATACTAAGAGAATCTTTATTCAAAAGACATTTAAACACACCAAATAAAATTATATAAACATACCAAATAATAAAAAACTCACTAAATGAACTGAAAAAAAAAACACCAAATAAAATTAAATAAACACACCAAAAAAAACAAAAAACAAACACACTAAAGATCATAAACATCAATCAGTAATTTTGGTTTTTTCTAGGCAACGATATATGTAAGGGGAGTTGGCTGGAAATATACTTATATATAGCTATATATGGAAACGAAACTTTGTAATCGAGGAGGTTTTTTTGTTGCAAGAGTAATAAATTGTTAAAACTGTTTTTTTTTTTTAAAAAAAAAAAAAAGGACCCGTGGACCGGCTCCGAACCGGCCCGTTTTTTCTGGGCCGGGTTAGGTCCTGTTTCAAAGTTCAAATTTCTTATACCCAGCCCGTTACATTTTAAAACCAGTATGGTCCAGTCCCTCCAAATTTGGACCCGACCTGGCCTGTGTCCAATGGTGGACTAATACCAGCCTTACAAGGTTATAATCGTCATTGTATTGCGTGAACGAAAATATGATTTTGGATCTTAAAAAAAAATGGAAATGTTATTGTCACTTTAACACAGTTTCACTCTCATTTTACATTTCTCGTATATTTTTATTTCTAAATATAAAAAGCTAAAGTAAAAAATGAGAATTTTAGAGTGTTAATAACAATTATAAAAAAATATTGTTTTTAGGTAATTCTTTTTCTTTTATGTGTCTACGGTCTGTTTTGTAGTTTTTTATTTTGAATAATTACTGTAAAATTAAGAGAAAAAAAAATAGTGCATATGTAGAAAGAGGAATGTTAAGGGACCATTTCAATGTGTCGGACACATGGCCATTACACTAAGTATTGTAATATAATTAGTTGGAAACTTGAAAAAAAAAATATTTCCAACCAATTGTATTATGACAAGCCAAAACAAGTGGCTTAGTGGTAACAGCGCGAATTCTGGCTCTCAAAATACAAAAAACAGGGAGATCCTAGGTTCGAGGATTCAAGCTGGTGAGTCTGCTTGATTGTGACCGGACGAAAGCTGAAATGCCTTTGTGAGTTTTCCTGACCTCCGGAATTGATGGATAACTATGTCTTGCCACAAGTTATCCCCTTTTTCTAATAAACTACATCACTTAAATTACCACTACAAGACCAAAAGCATACTCCGCCCTACTTGGGTTGGGCTCAAAAGTTGGACTTTCTAGTAATCATCCCGTGAAAACCATGTAAAAATAGTCCACGCCAAAGCCCATATCCGGCAAGCAATGGTCAGAAACTCCTGCTCGCCTAAAGAACTCTCATGCGTTAATCTGATGCAGGACAAAAGTGAAGATGACCGGATTACTAGGCATCGAGGAAGGATTCGTCTTGGTGATATTTCTTTGTGCAAGATGATGTTTCCATCGTCAATCATTGCCTCGCAAACGGGAAGCACTATGTGCAAACAAGGTTAGGTTGAACCCTCTCACCCCTTTTGTAACCGAATGCAAAACTCTAACCGAGAAATTGAAGACCCTTTTGTGTTGCAGTGAAGAGTTGCTCAAAAGAACGGAACAGAAGAAATGAAGCAATCAAATCTCCGTTTGCGTACGAAGCAAATGCCGATGGAAAATCAAGTGTAAAAAGCGGTCAGCACTGTCAAAAATCAAAGTGCATATTTGCTGTTCAAAATAATGAGACGGTTGAGAAATTGTAAAAAGTATAAACCCTTCAAATTATCAAACAGTTTTGCTGGTTGATCACACAAAACTCTAACAGAAAAACTAACCAAAAACATACAATTTCGCAGAACATTAGTTACCGCGAATGATTCTCGACATTAGCCACCACCGTCAGTGGTGGTGGAGTTCACATTGCCTTTAGCCTCTAAGAAGCGACTCAGCTGCTTATCTTCCAAATGTTCCTGCGCAAAACCAAAGTTAAAATAATTTTAAAAACCCAGAAAATAAAATAAGCAAAATATTTATATAAAATTATTAATTGTGATTTGGATGAAAATTTGGGAGAAAGGTAAGATTTGGAAACGCACGGCGAGGCAGGCCTTGTATTTCTGCCACTCTGAAACGCAATCCTCCTTGTCCCATTGGCCCTTCACAAACTTCTCCGAGTACCACCTGCAGACAGTGACAATGCCCATTATACCCTTTTCAGAAAACGAAAAATCGGATTTTAGAGAGGGGGGGAGAGAGAGAGATTAGGTTTAAGGGTAGTAATGGAAATTAATTTGGCGCTGAGAGGACCTGGTGAAGCAATTGTGGTAGGCGTCTCTGAGTTTTGCACAGGGAGAAGTGGAAGAAGAAGAAGATTTCTTCTTGTTCCGTGAATCGGTGATGATCCCCATGTGTTGCAAACCGGTTCAGAGGCGGGAGGCGAAGTCCGAGTTTTTCACTCCCTTCCACAAACTCAGCTACGCCTTCCACAACCTTCGAAGACCGAGTCTGCAGCACCTCACCCTTCCTCTTCCACTGCGCACATACACTAAGATTATTAAAACTCAGAGGCAACCCTTCAACAGAATGCACATGAAGGTAAAAACAACAACTAAATTTCCGATTCCTATGACTTCAAGGGCTTCTTCCAATTCCACACCGAAGACGATTTCTTGTCCTTGTGCAACAAATCTTCCCTCACAAATCTCGGGTTCGAATCCGAAAAACGGGTTTTCCCAGCAGATTTGGATCTTCCATCAGAAGAGTAAAGCAAAACCTTCTGTGGGGCTTCTGAAAGTAAAGGGCTTTGCTTAGTTCTTCGATGTCACGCAACAATTCACCGTTGTTGGAATTCCCACCACTGTAATCCTCCCTACTCTCATTTTTCTGCAACATGATATCTTATATTTGCATACAAATTAATCTAATTACACCATATCCAACCAAACCCACCATGGAAACTTGTAAATAATTCAACTTTTCTCTAAAACCCCCTACAGATTCTTTTGAAAAAACAATCCAAAAACTGGAACTGATTAATCGAATGAGAAATGCTGAAAATATGAAGAAAAAAAAACTGCAAATGTACAGTACCAGGAAGGACCGAGCGTCTATTAGCCGGAGGAACGTCGCTCGGGGTCTCAGCCGATGAACACCGTGCAGATGGATGGCTTGGTCGAGCGAGCCGTGTGATTGGTTTTGGGTATTTTCTCGGGAATCGTGTGAAGATTTTCCGGGAAAAACTTTACCGTGACGAATTTTAAAGGCGATTGAAAATACAAGTTTTGTCTTCTGTGTGTGGGACGGTTGAGTGATTAGAGAGTCGTTCCGGTAGACCGAAACCAGTTTGGCTGTTATAATGGTCATTGTAATTTGTATTTCGTGAACGATAATATGCTTTTGGGGATTTGGATCCTCTCCTGAGCAGAGGATCCGGCTGACCAAGAAAACAGACCGTTGGATCAAAATTTAACAGTTACAATTATTATAACTTTAGAAGGGTTTTCTGTTTGTAGTCGTTAGAATTTGATCCAACGATCCGTGTTCTTAGTCAGCAAGATTTGGACCCTCTGCTCAAGAGAGGATCCAAATGCATGCTTTTGGATCGTCTAAAAAATAATGATTTTCCGACTTTCGTTTTCTTTTTCTGTGTCTAGAATCTCTTTTAACTAATGAAACTTAGGAGAGAGAAACAAAAAAAAAATTATTGCTTACGTAAAAAGATTAATGTTAGAGAGACTGTATTTTTATATCACATTGGCTTATCAAATGACGTGTTAAGTGACGTATATATGTCTCGTTAGTTAATGAATCTATCTGATTAAATGTTAGTTGTATTCATTATTTGCCACGTGTGAGTACATCAATATGATTTAAAAATATAACTTACCTAACATTATTTGGGTAAAAAACAAGAGCATCAAGATCACTACCATATTAATTTTAACCTTATACTCTAACTAAAATTTTACTTATCCTTATAGTTTCAAACGTAGCAATTTAAAGTTTCGTAGTACGGTTAATTTTGTTCTTAGCAAAACATGTGTAAATGAACTTCTCTCTCCTCTGTGAGAGTTCTTCCCATTTTGTGGGGGTTCTTTCTCCTATGCGAGATAATTTTTCCAGCTTTCTCACCCTCTCTCCCGTTTTTCTTCCCTTTCTTCAGTTTCTCCTTATGATTGCCGTTTTGAGAGTCGGAGGCCCGGGTTTTCTCCTTTTATATTTTGCTTTCTTTCCTCACCTTTTTCCCTCCCTCAAACCCAGCCCTTCCATATTTCCATCACCACCCCACACATCAGTCCTTGTCAACCATGCTCTTCCCCACCATCTTCCCTATCCCTTAACCAAAAATTAGATCTTAAAGTTTTAGACCCGATATGGAATTTCAATTGCTGCACTTTAAGATTTGATTTTTGCTTTGGTTTTGCTTGCCATTTTTGGTTTGATTTGGCTATGGGTTGCTTCTTTTTAATGGGGATTAAGGTTTTATCAGCTGTTTTTATTTTTGGACTAACTGCTTTTGATGTCTTTTTGTATCCGTTTGATGTTGGTGCTCCTCTCAATCCTTCCTATAGTTGTGGATTTCATGTCTGCGGTGGTGGGTTGGATAGTTTGAGAGTCATGTTTGACTCATCCTCTGATCGCTTGAAGATGACGCCTATTGCTATTGACTGAAAACGCCATTGAAAATATTTTTGGGTTGTAAAAGAACTTGAATTGCTTATTACAAGAAGTACTAATTATATGCTTCTTTCAGAAAGCACTTTAAATGTTTTTCTAGATTCACACTTGCGTGAGAACTCAAGTAGAGGATGCTGAGAAAGTAGTGTTGGAGCTCTACTGTGAAAGGTCATGGATAAAAGATGGTCACACTGATCTTGATTTTGGGTGTGGCTGGGAATCTTTGTCATTGTGCTGTAGACATCGAAATTTCGGTGAAATAAATGTTGATCAATAATTAGAATTTCAACGTTCACGTGTCACATAAATTTTACACATAGCATGTGACTCAACAAAAATCGAGAACTCATAAAAAGTCATCAAACATGACACGTGTCAACGCTTGGCAAAATGATTTATTTCATTTGATTATTTAAACCCAAAAATCAAATTTTGGAATTCTATAAATAGGAAGCCAAGACATTCATTTAAGGGACCAATTCATAACCAATTCATAACCAATTCATAACCTATTCATAACCAATTCACTCACACCAAACCTTGAAGCTTTAAAACTCCAAAGCTTCAAGCAAATCCGAACTAAGAAGCTCTCTTCGTTCTTCGTCAACAAACCTTCATCAAGCAACGGCCCTTTAAAGGAACTTCTACCAATTCAAGATCAAGCCCCAACGACTCTTGAAGAAGTGTTCATCGTTTCATCATTTTCATAAGATCAAGCCCCAAGGCCTTTTGGAAACAACCAAATCCCTTCGTTTTCAAGTCAAGCCCTTAAAGATCCAACTGTTCATCAAGATTAAGTCCAGGTTGAAGATCGTTCACAATTTTGAGATAGCCATGCTCTTGAAGAATTCCCGTTCGTCCGAGATCAAGCCTCAATTGACAAATATAAATCAACATCTTACGGAGATCGAATCAGATGATCAAATTTGAGAGAGATTGTAACCCCTAAATCATTAATACAAATATTATTTTGCACACGTGTTCTTGTCTCTTTTGTTTCAAGAATTTCCGTGTTTACATGTGCATTGCACAGAGATATAGCAACTGCAAAGTTACCGGGATCTGCAGCTCGACGACACAAAAAGCTTCCATAGAAGAGCAATGTCTGTGCGTAAGCGATTAATTCTTTATCACATTGAGTCGCTGGACTATGTGCCGTGATATCGATTCATTTTTTGTTACGGTGTGTATGGATCTAGAGCTGCAGAATGTAGAGACGTCGTCGGAGATATCAGCACGTTTGAAACAGAGGCTTCCTGCTCCATAAAACCAGTTATGGATTCAGCCGTGAAATGGACAGTATATTGGCCTACATTCTTCATTTCGGTGGCAATGCTAAAGCTCTGTTTGCTTACGAAGCAATGAAGCAACCAAAGCTCTGTTTGCGTACAACAATGGAGAAGAGTCGATGGTTGTTCAATTCCTATTCAAGAAGAAACGAAGCAATCAAAGCTCCGTTTGCATACGAAGCAATGCCAATGGAAAATGAAGTGTAAAAGCAGTCAGCAATGTCAAAAATCGAAGTTATGTTTGCTGTTCAAATAATGTGACCCTTCAAATTATCAAACAGTTTTGCTGGTTGATCACACAAAACTCTAACAGAAAACTAACCAAAAACGTACAATTTCACAGAATATTAATGCCTAATGTTACACATTTCGGACCCGACTCGATATTCTCAGTTTACGATTTCTCTAAGGCTTTTTAACCAAATGGTCCTGAAACGTAAGTGGAGGGGTTGATTAGATAAAAATACTGGATATTTTTCATAAACTAACCAAAATGATTGAGTTCAAACGACCACTTTTATCGAAGGCGACCAAAGTGAAGAGTTATACAAATCATAAACCATTTTGACTAAAAATCATTTCTCTAATTCATTCTCAGACTAACAAAAAAACACCTAACCAAGACCAATATTACCGTCTCCGCCGCTGCCGGTTTTCGGTAGCCAACGTCAGTGGTGGTGGAGTTCACATTGCATTCCGCCTCTAAGAAGCGACTCAACTGCTTATCTTCCAAATGTTCCTGAGCAAAACCAAAATTAAAATAATTTTAAAAACCCAGAAAATAAAATAAGCAAAATATTTATTATAAAATTTGTTGGTACCATATATTTGGGCCTCGTATTTGGGCCTTGGGTCTCGTATTTGGGCCTCACACATTAAGCCCACGACAAATGTAAAAGAGGAGGAGCCCCTTATTCTATAAAAGGGGACTCCCCCTCATTCTAAACCAAGTCTTAAGTCCTCATTTCTAAGGGCTAGAGCTGAAAACAAAGGCTAGAAGCCTTGAGAGAGAGTCCTCACACCACCGAGGCTCTCCTCTCCCTTCTCTTCTCTCTCTGGGGGACTTCCCCTCAAACACTTGTATCCATACAATTACAGAGAAACAGAATCAACTACAGTGTGGACGTAGCCCAAACATTGGGGTGAACCACGATAAAATCCTTGTGTTCTTTGTGTTCTTTGTGTTCTTGAGCGTTTGTGCAGATTCACGGTCGGATTTACGTTGTTCCAAGACCGCCCCGGTTTTGTGCATCAACAAAATTATTAATTGTGATTTGGATGAGCATTTAGGAGAAGGGTAAGATTTGGAAACGCACGGCGAGGCAGGCCTTGTATTTCTGTCATTCTGAAATGCAATCCTCCTTGTCTCATTGGCCCCTTCACAAACTTCTCTGTGTACCACCTGCACACAAATACAATACCCATTATACCCTTTTCAGAAAACGAAAATGGATTTGAGAGAGAGAGAGAGAGAGAGAGAGAGAGAGAGAGGGGAGTGAGATTAGGGTTTAAGGGCAACAATGGAAACTAATTTTGTGCTGAAAGGACCTGATGAAGCAATTGTGGTAGGCGTCTCTAAGTTTTGCACAGGGAGAAGTGGAAGAAGAAGAAGGTTTCTTCTTGTTCTGTGAATCGGTGATGATCCCCATGTCTCGCAAACCGGTTCAGAGGGGAGGGGCGAAGGCCGAGTTTTTCACTCTCTAATGAGGTGTTTTGGGCCGGTTTATATATTTCTTGGGTAGATATTGGGTCGTTTCGGAAGGAAGGGGAAAGTGTTGACTGGGCTAGACCTCTTATTAACGGGCCTTGTAAATGAAAATTACCAATACACCATCCAATCATCTATAGTCGATTCTTTTGAGATAATTATCTACACTCATATTCCAAGTTCAAACTCTCTCTCCTCTCTTAGTGTAGTTTAGAGTAGAAATATTGTTTGGCGGGATAGACAATAGATAATAGACAATCTTCTTCCAAAAAAGACAGACCATAGATGACAAAGAAAGGTATTTGGTTCAAACAAACATACGGCAATCAAGTAGAGTAACTTGTTTTTGTGACCGTAAGTGCGTTCCGTGGTGTTATCAGTCCCCATCTTATAAAAGATCACAGGAGATTCAAGTAATGGTTGCATTTTTCATGAGAGAATACTAGTGCAATTATTTATGTCTCTTTATTCTTTGTTTTGGCAAGTTCAAGTTACATTAGTTTGGAAATCCAGTCCCAGACATAATCTTCGTTAAAAAAACAGAAGCAGCCAAACATGGAATCCTAGTATTTCTGGTATGCCAACTCCGTTGCGACATCGGCAAGTTTTCTCTCGCACTGAACACTCTGAACCCATTTGGCGTTGATTTGCACCCGCTCAATGCTCTGCTTCACTGTTCTAGTTATCTTCGGTTTGGGATGCGCTTTGAAGAACTCATCTACTTCCTTAACCTTGTCAAATGAGGCAAACAGCAGAGGAAGGTAGAAGGAAATAACAAGGTATTAGAAATCTAAGTTGCACAACAACAGACCTCGAGCATAAGAACGAAAGTTTCTAGAGAAAGAAAGAACGAACCGGTGAAACAATTTTAATTTTGACGCAGTTCGAGTTGGGATCTGCATTTCCCAATTTTGCTCGTGTGCGTTTTTTTAAGAAACGCTTGGGCTTTCGCGGTTTGGTAGAATTACTTTTTTATTTTTTTATTTTTTTTAGTAGATTGATAATATTTTAATTATTTTTAAAATAATTGAAAAGTTTTTTGTGAAATTGATTCAGAAGAATCATTAAATATGTATTTTTTGCATGAATCGTTTAAAGTGCTTTTCAAATATCCACTTATATTTTTAGTTATAATTGATTTTAAAAATATTTCCACTAAAAACGCTTTCAGCTATTTTATAAATATTTCCAAATAAGCTATGCATTAAGGAAAAAAAAACGATTTTTTTATGCAAAAAAAAAAAAAAAAACGATTGACCCATTACTATACATAGGTTTTAACTACTTTCGTTGTGACTTTCTTAATGTTTACGAATAATCAGTAGTTCAAATCTTAACAAGTAAATAATAAATTAATTAGGAGAAAAATTAGTTTCGAACTAATTTCTAACTTGGTTGATCATTAATTATATAAACATGCCCACTTGAAGAAATGTGTATGAAAACGAGTGCGAAAGAAATTATTCATTATATTATGTGATAAACATAATTTTTGGCTTGAATGTCAAAATGATCAATGTGTTATAGTCATATGGTCAATTTAGTCTCCATGTTTTAGATTTGGCTAATTTAGTCATTGTGTTTGTCTCTGTTAGCCAATTAAGGACATTTCATTTCATCTCTGTTAAAAAATTCATAAAAATAATTATAAGAAATATAATTACCTTTTCTCTTTACAGAAAAATGATTTGAGAAATAACACATATAAAAGATAAAACTTCCAATCTGAAAAAATGATTAAGGTTGTGATATAGAAAAGAGAGGGGGTAACGTTAGGGAGGAGGTCGGGAGTTGGGAGGAGAATAAATTTTCTTTTAATTTTTTAATTTTAGATATTTTAAATCAAGTAAATTATTTTATAAATAAGTTTATAATAATTTATACAATTTTTTTTTTTACACAAATTAGATAAAAATGTCATTAATTGGCTAGTAGAAATAAACACAAAGACCAAATTAGCCAAATTGAAAACACAAGGACTAAATTGACCCAATGACTAAGGACTCGTTTGGATTTGGTTTTAAAAATGATTGAAAATGATTTTAGAGAAAATGTTTTTTTTGTTCCAAAAGCACTTAAAATGCTTTTCCATAATTTAATTGTATTTTTACTAAGAATTGGTTCCAAAAACATTTTCACTAAAAATGCTTTCAGTCATTTTAAAAACACATCCAAACGAGTTCTAAAACGCAAAGGACCATTCAAACATTTGAGCCTAATTTTATCTATTATTTTCAGGGACACAAGATGTTTTTTTTTTTTTTTTGTCGAAACACGAGGCATGTATCTCAATATATGCAAGGAAAACAATGTTTCCTTGTAGTCAAAACTATTAGTACTACAAAAATGAACAGTCATGATTGAATTGGAGAAATATTATTTTTGACAAATATTTTTGCTTGTCAATCTAATTGATATAAAATCGTGCTACCCAGTAGTCCGAAAACCTCGAAATATTGAAGACTTACCCTGTTCCTCATGTGAAAGAAGACGAGAAAGGTGAGACGAGAAATTTGGTTGAATGTTGCTCAATAGATATAGCCATAGGTTTGCATAGACTTCTAGCAGCCGAACAAGACTGCTACTAAAACAAACATCGAATGCTACAGAACTCACCAGTACCCTTTTTGCATCAGTGAACGTAAAGATTGTAAGCCTTCGCTGTTCTCGAAGCGCAGCGCGAGTATAAGCACGTAACAAAGATCGAAAGATGTCTCAAATGCCCACCTGTAAGCCAGCAGATAAAATACATTACATAGTCCACTTAGGGCAACAGCAAACATACGACGATATGGGTAAATATTTGACTAGCTAGCATAGCAGTTGAGGTGCGAGCTTAACCAAATCCACCGCACGCATTGTTTACTCAAACATTCGAAAAATAATACAAGGACGATTTTTCATGGGAGATGACTTTAACACACCATTTTTCTCCACATGCACACCCCACGCCTGTTACCGACTGTTTGATCAAACGAATACAGAAAATCAACGAACAAAACCAAACAGAGGATGCAAATGGAGAAAAATGGTGTGTAAACATTTCCCTCTTTCTTTCCCTCAATACAGTATTTCTTCGCAAGAGAATCCTTAAATAAACAAAAGACAACTACTTGTCAACACAGCAAAAAGGTCCAATTGTCATCGTATGTCGAAAGCCAACTTATTCGGCTGTGGCTTTTATCTGAAAAATAAGAAAATATCTGTGTCAGCAAGGAGGATCGTTACCATCATGTTCCAGATAAATTTACCACTGAAACTACCTCTGTATAATTCATTATTCATACAAGCTGTACAACAGCAGCCACTCTTAGGGTCCCGTTTTGGAGAAGATCAGCAAGCTCGTCAAACAGCAGAGCTGATCGCCATCCCCAGCCCTTGGGAGCTTTCGGTAAAAGCGTGCCTGTCTGCTTGAAACTCCCAAACACCATGACTTCCCTCTTTGATGGGCAAATTAACTGCATCATACAGGTATATGAAGCACGGATTCAATATACAAGGTTCTGGCGTAACATGAAAATGGGCTAAGCTGACAATGTTTGGTCACTTTGGAATGTTACCTGATAGCGGGCTGTAACCTTTTCACGAGAATCGACATACATTTGCACCTGTTTTGGGCATAAACCGTACATTATCAATTAACAACTATATGAGTCACAAATGCTGACAAAACATACTCGTCAGCAAAACACAGTGAAAAAGGGTGATCCTTTAAATATGAAGATAAGAAGCATTCTTCTCCATAACTAAAATAACCCAATCATGCTCAAACAATCAAAGGGAAGGCTGGCTAACCTTTCTGAATGAATCAGTAATCTCTGCCTTACGTCGGTGAATAAATAATCCTGAAATAACAAATATATGATATGCATTCAGCTTAAGCAACAAATTTAAAATATAATTCAGGAAAGCAAAACAACATGCTTCCAAGGTATATATCATTAAGCCAGGAACAGTACCAAGTGTTCGACGTCCTTGAGGATCTTCATCATTAAAAGCCTGAACGCTAACCTATAAATTGGAACAGAAAACCCATCTGTCTGAGAGCATGGAAATTGGAAATCGGAAATCGGAAAAGCATCACCACATATGTAAATCTTATATTGAAAAGAACAATAAGTTTGTACTCAAACACCTTCCATAAAGAACCAGCATAAAAGACTTCTGAAGAGTGCTTCACTTGGCCATCACTAAGCCTGTGCACATCCTCAAATTGCACCCTGTAAAAAAAAGGGCGACTTGTAATTAGTAGGATAGACAATTAAGCATGATGATCAATCATTACATCCACATTATAATATTGTTAATGACATTCAGACTTGAGCAAATTCGAACTCAACCATCCTCACACACACAAAATCCAGTCCCAAGCAGAAAGGACTTGCATAAGTGGATGTGCAAAAGCACTTGTATAATTAGGTAATCAATTTGTAAAGGAGACTTCTGAGCTAGTAGATCATAGGACAGCATCCTAAAAAGAATGTATGATTCTTATTTTCCAAAGAGAGTTCAAAAGCTAAAGCGCAGGTGGAAAGGAGTATGGAAAGAGCTCACATACCCAAAGCGGAAAGGAGGGAAGTGACTTAAAGGTGTTTTCATATCCAATGAGATGGAAGAACTGCTTGCATTATCCCACTCAATCCCAAGTGCATGGTCTGACGACTCTACCATCTGAATGGGTACACCACTAGTACTTGGCACTGACATGGACGTTCCAGCCATTCTGCTTTGCATATCCATCTCATAGCCTCTCTCTGTTTGCTCCCCATGAGCATTAGCTACATTGTTCCCTCCTTGGCTTAGCCCAACTAAAGCTGTTAATCCATCTCCAGACAGGTCCCCATTATGGTCAGCTCTAGCCTCTGAATCATCATTAGCAAGAGACTGCTGGCAATTTCTGTTGCCCATGCCAAATGGCACACGGGAAAAAACAAACCGAGTTGGAGGCCAGGCAGTTGCTGGTACAAATGTAGTTCCGCGTCCGATACCAGCAAGCCCATCAATAGGACCCCTGACATGCACACGTACAGGCCTAAAGAGACCATTTCCTTCACCTGGGGCAGACTCAGCAACATATACACCAGGAGAATTATTCTGATTATGCTCTTGCATGTAGTATCCAGTAGTAACTCCTTGTGAGAATGAAAATTGCTGTCTGCAACTGCACGCTATACTTGTAAGACAGCAATTTTTGCACGTATCAGCACCAACTTCTTGGACTCTCTGGCTTAAAAGCATCTACATGATTGCACACCAAACAATTAAGTTAGTAAAAAAATAAACAGATAGGGTTTCTTTGCGACATTTTGATATTTAAACACACAAATAAACAAATAAGACATCTCTTCAAAAGCATAACCGCGGGCAACAATGTGTGTATGGAAGAAAGAGATGCCTAGCTTTCTCATGGTGAGAGGTGGGCAGAGAGCCCTTGCAGTCAGCCTGCCAGGGCCTGTAAAAATAGTTTCATCGACTGAATCAATTTATCAGCACTATGGTTTATAAGATATTTTTCCAAATGGTTAACTATACCAGTTAATAGGGATACCATGTAAGACATATAAATTGCATACCAATCAAAATTGCTATAAAAACTAGATGCACCTTGTTTGTGTGCACAACCAAAACATTAACCAAAGTAACTGTAATGATTGCTCTTTCATTTCCCCCATACTTGTATAGCAAAAGAAAGATGGAATTAAAAAGAAAACAGATATAGAAAGAAACCTGCAGCCAAAGACCATCGTTTACAGCTTTGCAGGGGAACCCCAGTTCGTCAAGTTGCTTTCGTACATTCAAAAGTGCCTCAAAAGACATGTTGCAGTATAAAAGAGATCCGCCTTCAAATATATTAACAAATGCATCATATTCCTCCCCACCAACCCCAAAGTTCCCTTTAGCATAACCTTTAACCTGTCTTCTCCCTACAACCCTGCCACCCCATGAAAGAGGAGGCATGCCACATCTTCCCCAATCATTTGGCATGAGCTCACGAGTGGAAGAGTTCATTGAAGAGCATTGCCTTGACTGGTCCCTGGCAAACCAACTGTTGTTATTTAAGTGAAAGCATGATCCTTCATCAGATGGCCCTTCCATAGCCACTCCATTCGCCCCCAGTCTACTTGCTCCAACACCAACTGGCATTTCAGCATAACATGAGGTTCTCATCACATCTATTTCTGATAGTGAATTTTTTAATGATGAAGGACCACCCATGCTGCAGTTGTATCCTGGCTCCAAATTGGATTGAGGGTCCGCAACTTGTTGGACTTGCTGTTTGGAATTTGAAACTCCTGTTTGGAAATCAACCACACAGTCTGCAAGCTCTATCAAAAGACTACGAGCAGTATTATGGCCCTCTACATCATCTTTTAGAGTTAAGCACCCGACTTCAGACTCCAACCTTTTGTTAGCGAATCTATCAATCAGATTCTTTCCCTTTGCGTTAGAAGAATCAGATGGAGTATCCGTTCCTGCCTCAGAACTGGAACTTCCATGATCATAGTCTTCCTGTTTGCTTTGAGCACCTTTTGCAAGGAATGCATAGAATGCCAGCTCAAACCTTTCCACAAAGGAAAAATAAAGAACACATCAAAAGGAACTCAAGCTGTGATTAATAAACCCGAGTTAGGCCGTCAATGCTCCTTACCGTTTCTCTTCACTGGGTACCCAGAGCTCATCAGAGGTCAGTAATGCAAGCAGGGTTTGAGCTGAAAGTTTTGGAAGCACCTGTCCATGAACATGTCAGGAAATAGAATATGTAGCAGTAGGTTTGCATTAACAAAACTGAAAAACCTTAAAATATACTTAATCCTTATAAAATCAAATATACTGAGTCATTAACAATGGATAGATCCAAGAGAGAAGAAAAAATTGAGCTATGCTATCATAATTAAATAAAATAACAGAGCTTAAGCCATATTTTTCTAGACTGGGCAAGGTTAAGTATGCTAATATTACAAAGAAATACAAATATGTTCCTTCGGCATCCACTGTTTTGTCCTTCTCTCTCATCTTTTCTTATGTTGTCATGTTATATGATCTCAAAGGAAAACAGAAGGAAGAAGAAAATGTGCGCAAAACCCACAAGTGATTACTACAAAATAAGCACACCATCTTTTACCTCTTTCAACTCCATGGAACCACTTTGACAAAGGTAGCCCCAGCAAGCATTTCTTACTCGTTCTCCATGTAGGCCATAATCTTGGCTCTCCGCGAACACCTAAAAGCACAAGTAGACATTCTCAATTACAAAAGAAAATGGTAGCATGTGGGTCATACATAAACAAAGAAGCGGCACAAGCATTTCGAACCTGATTGGCTAAGAAGTTTGAAGTCCATAATTCAGATATAATGAAGTCTGTGCATATTGCACATAAATCCTGCATCAAAAGAACATCAAGCCGTAACCTAAATGCACATAAAGGGATGGGACTTCGAGAGTGGAAAAGAAAATAGTCACGCAAAGTAAAAGAAGACATCAAAACGAGAAAATGATACCTGAAGGTCAAGAAAAGAAGCGGCAGCCAAAACACGAAATGCATTGTTATCATTAAGCTTGGGGTGGTGACCGTATAGATACGCCAAAGCCATTGCAATTGCTTCTCCGTTAACATTCTTATCGTCAATATGTAAGGTTAAAACGGGGGCACTGGCTTCTTTCCAAGGTCCATGAAGCATGTTCCTGCCAGACACATTACAGTCCAGCATATGAAGATTGCACAAGGTGATTAGTAAGCACCTAATTGCTTCATAACTACGCGTTCATTATCGAAAACAAAAGTAATTTCATCAACTCCCCATTGCCAAGCTCAAGCTTAATAGTGCAAATGCTAACTAGGTACTCTCCGTATATACATACATCCACATAACTATTCAAATTAACAATAAAACCCCATAATTATCAATTCAACATCATCCAACAACGCCGATGAAGCCGCGCGAGGGGGCGAATTCAAGTTGCATTTTGGTAAATTGACAAAAGGGGTTTGGGGAATTTGGGACAACGGACCTGAAGTAGGGGCTGCGGGAGAGAATGAGGCGGTGGAGATGGTAGGTGGAGCCCATGGCGTGGACGACCATATCGGAGAAGGCACCGGAATTGAAGCCCTCCGTCTGTATGTGGTCGCAGAGGGCTGTGAGGTTGCAATCCAGCGCGCGCAGCTCGCCGCTGGACCGGTCGTTGTCGGAGTGCTGCGAGGGCTGAATCGTCATTTTCATCTGCGGCCCGTGCGACCGCGCCGGCTTGGTCGGGTATTGCGGGTCCATGTGAGCCGCAGCACCACTGATTTTTCCGATTGCGAAGTCTATGAGAGTGTCGATGGGAGTGAGAGAACGGTGTTTGGCATCAGAGAGACAGAGTTTGTTGATGCACTGCCGTTGTTACTTGGTGTACACGAGAAACGCGACATGGATGGGCGTGGCTCGGATCCGCTTGAATTGACCCGTTTAGCTCGCCCCGAACCATCTTCGTATATTTTTCTTTCAGTATATTGCACAAACACCACGTGGAAGATATTTTTGGCAATTCCACGCCCACACACTCCTATTTTAATGTGACTGTCAATATAGTAACATACCATCTACGTCTGAATTTTGATTAAACTCGTGCTAACGTATGGTGAAAATGATGACCTAAGGTGAAAATGATTAAACTCGTGGGCCTTTCCAACAATTTTTTCAACAATGATGACCTAAGGTGAAAATCAATCATGTTGAACTAAACTCGTGCTAACATATTTTTTTTCTTTCACAACGCTTTATGCCATGACTCGTTTAGACGTGTTAACATAATTGAAAGCGTTTTTAAGGGAAAAAAAATAGTTTTCAAAAGCACTTGAAATATTAGTTACAAGGAGTTATGATAGGATTGGTTGTGTTGTAGTCCAGCCCAAATTTGGTGAATAATAATTAGTAGGTATGTTAGACACTACCTGTTAGGTTTATATATTGATCAAAATTTTAAATTCGCTTTAGATGCAGAGTCAATGACGACAATTCTTTGAGGAATATGATGATATGTCATATTTCTTATAATACAAAATGGTGTCGTTTAAAGATTTGTCCAGCTTTGCTTTGCTATCCGGTTCTTTTTTTTTTAGGAAGCTAAAACCAAATGCCTAATAAAAAAAAGGGAAAGGCCTTAATGGTACGTATTGTCCAAGCTTAAACCAAAGCAACCCACCATTGTAGATGGTGGGTTGTTTCGTGGCCGTCTCACGATCATCCAAGCTATCACCAAAATACTTATATTTTATTAGCACTCCACATATTATTGAATAAACCCTTTGAAAATCAAATACAACACCATGGGTTCTTCAGCGGCTCTCTCTCTTTGTTTCTCTCTAAAAACCCAGATCCACAAGCTCCATCCCCAGCTTCAAGCTCAACCGCCGCCCCTTACTTTTGCTCGAGGTAGGCCGCAACCCACTACTCTTTCTTCCCTCATTCCCTCATCTCCCCTCTGCCTTTTCCATCTTTTTCTTCCTATCTCATCTCTTCTGCCCCATCCCCTTCCCTGCATCCACCTCATATTTCTCTCCCATTTCCAATCTCTTTCCTTCGTTTTTATTCCCAATTTTTCCCTTAGTTTATCTCAGTTTCCATGGAGCCAGGTCTCAACTATCCCCTGAGCTTGTCTTAGATTTGGGCTCATGCCCTTTATCCGACATTTTTCGCCTATTTTTACAGCTTTCTATCTTTTAATTTTATTTCCTTCCTCTCCTTATTGATACTTCATCCCCTTCCCACCATGTACTCGGATCGGCAGGCTCCGATCTGAAATTGGATTCTAGATCCACTACCTTCCTTCACTTTCTATCCTCCAACCAGCATGCTGGATCCCTATCAAGGTCAATTGTTGGGTATTTTACATACCCTTTAGCCTCACTCTCTATTTATATGATACTTTGTTTGTTACACTTTTAGGGGTTTGTGAAGGGGAATTGGATATGTTGTCTATTCTCTTGGTTCGAAGTTTGGCTTTCTCCGAAGATATGACGGTTGCGGTGGTCTAGTTTATGTTGCTTGAGACTAGGGTTTTTTGTTGTTTGTTAGCGCATCATACCGCCCTAAGTTCGTAAGGGCCTCTCGTTGTATCTTGAGTTGCTGCTCTCACTTTGCTTGGGCATTTTACTTTATCTGTTGTTGTTTATCAGGTTCCTTTTGGGTCTTGTACTAGCTTTTATTGTAATGAAACTTAGATATACATATATTAGCTCACATTTATATACTGCTGGAAAGTTAAAGATCTGCTGATGATACTAAATTTAACTTTGGTAGTTTTTCAAACATAATTACCCATACTATTTATAATCCCATAGCAACGCGTGGGCATCACTTTCTAGTGATCCCTAATTGACAAGAATCCCAAAATATATAGAAAACCAAACTTTAAAATCCATAATTGAGAAAGAGTATGAAGTGTGAGGGTAGTATTAGAAAATAAGTGTGATGTGTTAAGATAAATTTTAATTAAAAAAGATAGATAGGGGCGTATAAAGCACGTGTGGGTTGTGGTTAACAAATTATGGAGTATATACAAAAAAGGAGACTTAATTGGATTAATAGTCTTCGTGGTGATAAGGTAGTTGGAAGATAGCCAATGTGGTAAAAAAAATAGGATTTAGGTGCAGTTTAGGATTGAGGTGATTAAAAAAAAAGCTGGTATGAAAAAAAATTGAAATGATTTTTGATGTTTGATAAACTTTCAAAATCAACTTTATTTCAAAGTTTGGGGTGAAAAATATGCCCAAAACCTGAAGCTGCAAATAGCAGCTTCCAAAAACCAGCTTATTTTCGAAAACACGGGTGAACAGTGAACAGTGGTGCGTTTAATGAATTTTTCAATAACCCAAAATTGCCCTCCTTTCCTCTCGCCTTCAGCACACTCTCGCAATACGTGAACCAGAAAACCAGCGATCTCTCTCGTTCTCCAGGTTTCTCTGGCTCGGCATCCTTCCTTTGGTAAGCTTCTCTTGTAAAATTTTGCTATTTATTGTTTGGATTTTTAAATTTGGGGATGGGAGATTGAGAGGGAAAGAGGGGTGGGAAGAGCAAAGGGATGAGGGTATGGGTGTCGGGAAAAAAAATTGGGGATGGAGGGTGGGGAAAAAATTAATTGGGGAAGGTGATATGGTTTGTGGAAAAAATTAATTGGGGGAAAAAATTAGGGTTTGTGGAGGAAACAAGAAAAATTGAGAGAGAAGTTTGATTACTTCTCTATTCATTTTTTTTTAGAAGGTCTGCTACTGATTTATCTTAGGGTTTAGGTAAAGGATAATTTCTTATAAAGCTCTGCGCTGCTTCTGATCTGTGAACTGTGCTTCTGATTTGTCATGCGCCGTTCCCTCGTCTCTTGCGATTCAGCACACCCCTCTACGACGCCGTTTCATCGTCTTCTTCAAGAATTCTCCTGCAAACTTGGTTTGGTAGTTGTCTAACAGATCACCATTATAGTGAGGATTACACTTTTGTCAAATGTGTCTATTATGCTGTGTGTCTTCTTTTTTGACCGCTTGTACTGGAGATTTATATCATACAATGCGAACTTATGCTTGAAGAAAATTTATTGTTTTTACTTGTTGATATTTGTATGTTCCTGCCCTACAGTTGAAAACATTGAAAGTTATGCTCTGTGTTCCTGCCCTATTTTCTATGAATTTTTCTGAACTCTACATCTGTTAAAAATTGAAAATTCCGTCAACTAGCAACTGGGTTATCAAGTCTACATCTGCCCTATTTTCTATGAATTTTTCTGAACTCTACATCTGTCAGAATTTGTTCTTCGGTTGATTGCGTGCTATTTTGTACTCTGAAATGTTCGGAATTTCGCGTTTCGGCAATCAAAGCTCGGCCCTCACCAATGAATTAATTCCAATTTTCTCATGCTTTCTCATCAAATTTGAAAAATGCATGCAAAATCTCAAATATAGATCATTGGTTCCTAGTTCCTAAGCATTCATATGGGTTTGCACGTTAAAATTTTAGGAAGCGTGGGACGTTCTTTGCTTACTGGATTGCGCTTTTGGTGTTTACTATTGGCAGATGTTGTTTTTATTTGCTTACTGGATTGCGCTTTTGGTGTTTACTATTTATGTCCCAATGTTTACACAACTTAGCTTACGCTGTGTGATGTTTAAGTAGCGGTTTTCTGACATGGGTTATGTCTTAAACTTATTGAATTAGATATTTGGAAGGCAAAGAGCATACACGGTGTTAGATTGGGCATGCATTTGTCAAGATGCTCCTAAGACAACAAGGTAATCTTGACTCGCATAGATTGTTTATTCTCGATTGAGTGAAGTTTTTTGGACTTTGGTATATACATTGATCAGATAGATAATATATTCACAAGTCTCTTTGGCTTAAATGATGTTCGTCAGTTATTACTGTTTGCTTGATCTTTTTCCTTGTTGCAGTTGCAGGGATACGACGTGGCTTTCATTTGAACATTTACACATTTTCCAAAAGGTTTTCATCCTTGTCAAATGAGCCTCTGTCTGAAGAGAAAGTTGTATCTTTGATTGATGTGAGACAAGTAGTTGATGATGTGTGCCGAGTCTTGGAGTGTGGTCCTTGGGGACCCACTCTTGAGAATGCTCTATCGGCGCTTGACAAAACACCTCAATCAGAATCAGTTATTGGAGTTTTAAGGAGGTTGAAAGATGTCAGTTTAGCACTTAATTATTTTCGGTGGTGTGAGAAACAAACTGACCAAGCACACTGTCCCGAAGCATACAATTCACTTCTCATGGTCATGGCCAGGAGTAGAAATCTTAATTATTTGGAACAGGTCCTGGAAGAAATGAGTGTAGCAGGAATTGGCCCATTTAATACCACATGTATTGAGTTAGTTGTGAGCTGTATGAGGTCACAGAAGCTGAAAGATGGTTTCAATCTACTGCAAACAATGAGGAAATTCAAATTCCGCCCAGCATTTTCAGCCTATACAACTCTTATTGGGGCTTTGTCTACAGTTCCTGAATCTGATCTCATGTTGACTCTCTTTCATCAAATGCAGGAGCTAGGTTATGAAGTTACTGTGCATTTATTTACAACCATTATTCGTGTATTTGCCAAGGAAGGACGAGTTGATGCTGCCCTCTCCTTGTTGGATGAGATGAAGAGCAACTCTTTTAGTGCAGATGTTGTCCTTTATAATGTCTGTATAGATTGCTTTGGCAAGGTCGGTAAGGTGGATATGGCCTGGAAATTCTTTCATGAAATGAGAATGCATGGCTTGGTGCCTGATGATGTGACATATACTAGCATGATAGGAGTTCTCTGCCAAGCTGCGAGACTAGACGAAGCAGTGGAGCTATTTGAGGAGATGGACAGACATAGGAAAGTACCTTGTGTGTATGCGTATAACACCATGATCATGGGCTATGGCTCTGCTGGAAGGTTTGAGGAAGCATACAGCTTGTTTGAGAGGCAAAGAAGAAGGGGGTGCATTCCGAGTGTGATTGCATATAACTGTGTTCTCACCTGCCTAGGGAAGAAGAGACGAGCAGTAGAAGCATTAAGGGTTTTTGATGAGATGAAGAAAGATGCAGCTCCCAATCTTCCAACTTATAACATTCTAATAGACATGCTTTGTAAGGCTGGTAACCTCAAGGATGCTCTGCAGGTTCGGGATGCCATGAAAGAAGCTGGCTTATATCCTAATGTTATGACTGTAAACATAATGATTGATCGACTCTGTAAAGCTCAAAAACTTGATGATGCTTGTTCTATATTTGAAGGAATGGATCACAAAGTCTGCACACCAGATGCAGTTACATTTTGTTCTCTTATAGATGGCTTGGGAAAACAAGGAAGAGTAGATGATGCCTATAGGCTTTATGAAAAGATGCTGGACGCTGATCAGACTCCAAATGCCATTGTATACACATCCCTCATCAGGAACTTCTTCAAATGTGGCAGGAAGGAGGATGGTCACAAAATATATAAAGAAATGCAGCGTAGGGGCTGTTCTCCTGATCTCATGCTTCTTAATACCTATATGGATTGTGTTTTAAAGGCCGGTGAAATTGAAAAAGGTAGATCTTTGTTTGAGGAGATTAAGACTCAAGGATTCATTCCGGATGTGCGGAGTTATTCAATCTTAATTCATGGCCTTGTAAAAGCAGGCTTTGCACATCAAACATATGAATTATACTATGCGATGAAAGATCAAGGCTGTGTATTGGACACCCGTGCTTACAACGCCATCATTGATGGATTCTGCAAAAGTGGAAAGGTGAATAAAGCATACCAGCTTCTGGAGGAAATGAAAACTAAGGGTCACCAACCCACCGTCGTTACTTATGGTTCTGTCATTGATGGTCTTGCCAAGATTGACAGGCTTGATGAAGCATACATGCTTTTTGAAGAAGCTAAGTCAAAAGGAGTAGAACTGAATGTAATCATTTATAGTAGCCTTGTTGATGGGTTTGGGAAGGTAGGTAGAATAGATGAAGCATATCTAATCATGGAAGAGTTGATGCAGAAAGGTTTGTCACCTAACGTTTACACATATAATAGCTTGCTTGATGGACTTGTGAAAGCTGGTGAAATTGATGAAGCAATTGTCTGCTTTCAATCGATGAAAGATATGAAATGTACACCCAACCATGTAACGTATAGCATTCTCATAAATGGTCTTTGTAGGGTTAGAAAATTCAATAAGGCTTTTGTATACTGGCAAGAGATGAAGAAACAAGGGTTAAACCCTAATACAATCACCTACACTACCATGATCTCTGGACTTACAAGGGCTGGGAACATAAGGGATGCTAGTGGGCTTTTTGAGAAGTTTAAGGCCAGTGGTGGCATTCCCGATTCTGCTTGTTATAATGCTATGATAGAAGGGTTGAGCAATGCAGAAAGGGCAATGGACGCGTATACACTTTTTGAGGAAACTCGGCGGAAAGGTTGTAATATTCATTCCAAGACATGTGTTGTTCTGTTGGATGCCTTGCACAAGGCTGAATGCCTTGAGCAGGCAGGAATTGTTGGTGCTGTTCTTCGAGAAACTGCAAAGTCTCAGCATGCATCAAGATCATGGTAAAATCGTGTGTCATGCAATTTACTGGAGGGATTTAGATGTGTCGTACTCAATGAGTGGTGACACACAACTGACACAAGGTGCCTTCTCATCCATTCACGCTGATGGAGCAAATATTGGGCAACAAGAGATTTTTTTTCCTGAAGGGTCTTCGTCCCATCAATTTCTTAACAGGATTGAAGGCACTCTGTGGAGGTAATAGCTTCATGACTTCAAATGGAGTTACTGAAATTCTGTACATGTATCTGCAAAAAGAGTCATGACTTTAGGGAGCATGCCAACATGTTATTCCTCTGATTCACATTTGATAAAATGTTTTGATGAATTGAATGTTCGGGTTGTAACTTTTAAAATATTGGATTCTACTGTGTTGTACTTGTACATAGTAAGGTAAACAAAAGCTGGGTGAATGACGTGCATGCATGATATGCACAATAGCTGGGTGAAATATGCATTTTTTTCTGGCAGATATTGGCTTTTTTTCTTTTCCATTTTTCTTGTTGATGTGCTTCTGGCAGATTTTCGATTTCGGTGATTCTGAATTCTCAAAACAAACATTCATGTAAGGATCTTGTGCAGCAAGTGTTCTATTTGCAACTCATACGTATCCCTTCTCATAATTTTTCAAGTTCCACAGGTACTTGCATTTGACTAGATACTTGTGGATGCAGGACGCAGATCTCAAGATCCAGGTAATTCTCTATCTCATTGGATGTCCCTGGCACGCGAATTCGACTCCCTTCACCTGTGTATTAAAGTAATTTATTTGAAATTTCAGAGCTTGAGTGAGGGATTGGAATCAAAGGATTGGGTGAAGGTGTGTGAGTCTCTGAACAAGGTTAGGCATTTTGCAATCCACCACTCTGCTCTTCTGGCTCCTACTCTGCGAGTGCTTTTCTTCTTAGTTCCAACATTCGATTCTCTGCTGTAACAAGTCCACTAAAACGACGTCATTTTTGTTTGTACAGAGAGAATGTTGTAGTGGTGCTGGTGAAGGCAATGAAGAATCCGAGAAGTGCCTTAATCAAGACCTCGATTATGGCTTCTTCCGACGTCTTCATCGCCTTTGGTGATGGTTTACTTGACTCCGCAGCCTCTAATGCATTTGACCAATTGGTGTGTACCCAAACTTTTCTTGTTTTCTTAAATTTAGGGATCGTTTGACAACAATTTCATTTTCATTTTTTTATGTTCTAATGAACGGCTTGGATTGTTCAATGGGTTCACAGCTGCTGCAATTGCTGCTCAAGGCATCTCAAGACAAACGTTTTGTGCGTGAAGAAGCAGACAGGGCACTAAGCTCTATGGTGCAGTCCTTGACCCCTCTTCCTCTGCTTCAGAAGCTCCGAGCTTACGCTTCCCATGGCAACCCTAGAGTCAGAGCCAAAGCTGCCATTGCCATCGCATCTTGTGTCGCCAAGATGGTATATACTATGAAACCAAAATGTTCTCTTGAGTTTTGACGTTGGACATGCCATTTTTCTTGTTAACCTTGTTGCCGAAAATGGGATTTTGGTACCGATTTTCAGGGCCTTGAAGGAATGAAGGATTATGGGCTGGTTTCTTTGGTGAAAATGGCTGCAGATTTGTTGAATTCGGCTGCCTGAGGCGAGAGAAGCAGCTGCGGGAGAATGAAGAGAAGTTGCGGGAAAATGATGAGGAGCAGCCGGAGAAGCAGCAGATTTGGCTAAAACTTTTGTCAGTCTAATTTGTCAACAATTCATGCTCAGTCCATGGTCAAAATTACTTCTTCTCAGTAGAAAAATTAGAAGAAGACGGTGGATTAGGGGTTGGGTTTTGCTGGTAGCAGAAGCTATAGTGGGAGTGCTAGTTTGGTTTGTGATTCTGCTGGTAGCCTTTTAGCTGCAGTTAGAGTTTGAGAGTGCTATGAATTTACATCTTCCAGCTTCGTCTAAAAGCTGTTTTTACGTAATTTTATGTTGATGAATTTCTTCGTTTAATAAAATTTTCGTTCTTGATAATGTCAGAAATAGCGAAAGAGTTGCAGAACGGTGGTAATGTACCAGCAATGCAAGTATCTTTGAAATCTACTGTCACTGTCATATCTTTAGGGTTTAGATCTCTTTCTGAGCCGGCTTGCCATCCCCATGCGGACAGGAAAGCAAGCGGACGGTTATATACAGGGCGACTCAAAGACTTCACTGTAAAGAAATTTTCAGCTGGGTTCTGGTGTGTCTGCCATTAGAACTTGCCGCGATAAAAGCCAGCAAATAATTTCAACAAATATCGAAATCATTTAAGCTCTATTCCCACAATATATTGTCTCTCAGTACGACCGAATTCCTATATTTGAACTATTTCCTATTCATTTGAAACAAGAGAAATATCACGAGACAGAAATACGAAAATCTCTATAACTGCATTTCACTATATTTTCTTACAACGGGGTCATTCAACGCGTCCCTTGCATGTTACCAAAACCACGAGGAGACCTTCACTTGAGATCAGCAGACCCAAGCCATTGTAATATCAGGAGTGTGACACAACTCTGAAACCAAAAGCAACCCTGATTGGCGGAAGAACTCTGAAAGAGGAAAAAAGTCTAAGCACTTCACTCTTGTTCAACCAGAGAGGGCAACGCTGTCTCAACTTCTTCAATCTCGATATTTTTGCAACCCTGATAGCATGAATATTCACCATAATGCATGACCCAATCTTACGTTTTCTAAATTTTAGATTCTACATAAATTGTGTACATTATATTCGGTTCAGAAAACATACAGCAATCATGCGGAGTAACTTGTTTTTGTGACCATAACAACGTTCCGTGGTGTTATCAGTCCCCATCTTATAAAAGATCACAGGAGATTCGAGTAATGGTTGCATTTTTCATGAGAGAATACTAGTGCAATTATTTATGTCTCTTTATTCTTTGTTTTGGCAAGTTCAAGTTACATAAGTTTGGAAATCCAGTCCCAGACATCATCTTCGTTAAAAAAACAGAAGCAGCCAAACATGGAATCCTAGTATTTCCGGTATGCCAACTCCGTTGCGACATCGGCAAGGTTTCTCTCGCTCTGAACACTCTGAACCCATTTGGCGTTGATTTGCACCCGCTCAATGCTCTGCTTCACTGTTCTAGTTATCTTCGGGTTGGGATGCGCTTTGAAGAACTCGTCTACTTCCTTAACCTTGTCAAATGAAGCAAACTGCAGAGAAAGGTAGAAGGAAATAACAAGGTATTAGAAATCTAAGTTGCACAACAACAGACCTCGAGCATAAGAACGAAAGTTTCTAGAGAGAGAAAGAACGAACCGGTGAAACAATTGCACTGACAAAGCGAGTAATTAGATATCCGGACCCCCAGGTCTTTGAGATGTGCTCCCAGTTATCCTGTGTTTTGGATAATCCAAATGGAAAAATGAATCATAGTAACGAAAGTGGGATAAGAAAGATAAAATCCACGAAAGTGGGAACATTTCGTAGTATGTTGTAAACTAGTGAGAGATACCTTCATCCACATCCAAGCTGTTTCCCGACCTTCATTACTAACAGCAAGTCCAAATACAGCATCCTGACTGCGAACCTACGTAGACAGGCATTAAAGTCAGTATATCATCAAGCTTTAAGATTCTCAAAACTATTACTAGTAAGTAAAACTTCAACCTCCAATTAAGAGAGAAAATCTGAAATACCTCAGGAGTCAATATAAACTGGAGAACTTCCAGTGTAATATTGGGATCGGGAGACGCTAAAGAACCTACAGGCACAGACACATCGATTACTGCTATAATCTAACAGCCTCATATGTTCAGCATTATTTTACTAATTACTTATATTTACCTAGAATGCGGGTTTTCTCCTGGCTTAGATCACTCTCTCTGTACAGTCTAACAAGAGATTCATAGCCTGATCGGTCAGATACACTTGTTCTTTGCATTACAGCCACATATGCCGCCTGCAACGGTAGTCCATAATTAACATCAACGATGAACTTAAAAGTTTAATTACATATGTGTAATTAATGATTTACGTCAAAGCAACCTTTCTAATGTCTGGGGGAAGGAGAGGCGTGTTTCTGTCTTCTATAAAGGCATGAAAACGCCTACTTGCTTCATCTAACGTCAGGTCATGACCAAAAACAGCAAGTGCAGTCAAAATTTCTCCTCTCAACATTGCATCTAAATGGCCTTCGCCCGGTTTAGGCTGCCAACCAAGCCTCCTGTAAAGAAATTCCATCATAAATGATAAACTTTGAACAAAATTAAAGAAAAAGACAGAAGCAAATCTTGTGTCCTGATAGTTTATCTACATAGGCATTTGAGTTGTTAAGAAAAGAACAAACTTACTCTGCAGAATACTGGAAAAGTCCAATAAAGAATTGTTTAATGTGATCCAGTAGTCCGGGTACAGCATCGGCTGCAATTCTTGCCAGATTATAACTTATCTGTGAAACATGAGGACCAGAATCAGGCCAAGGTCATCAATGCAGCAACATAAACACAAAGCAGGGGCGATCATTACAGTAATCAAATTTGACAGCACGATATAGTCAAGTTCCTCTCTGTATGCACTCAACAAGGTAAGCAATGAAGCAAAAGACTGGTTGCGAGCCATTGATAGGGCAAAGGAATCATCCAAAATGCCTGTGAAAGGAAAAAAAATTGGTGAAAACTTTTACTATCAAAGAGATAAACAAGCACGTGTACGAAATGATGATTACCAAATCTGTCAGTTTCAGACAATTGCTTCTTTTCGATAGCGTTTCTAAGTGCAGCTGCAAGTTCATCCTCATATTTCACTCTGTAAAAACCAGTCTGATCCACATTGACTTTTATCCAACCGCAGAAAGCATTGTCTTTGTTGCTTGTGCCTCCACATCCAGCCTTTCCTACTGAGCAACCCAGAAATTCCTTTATGTCAAGAGTTTCAGACTTCGCTTGTAGTAGGAAATTCTTGCGTACATCATACGAGCCACAGGATAATGTGATCGGCACAATCCATTGCCCATCACCTTGGGAACCGCTTGAGTAGAATTGTGTCTGCCATACATTAATTTACTTATTAGATCTTTGTTCGTGTCCTTGTACCATGGAATAAAACCTAAACAAATGACTTAACAGCTTGTAGTGCATTAGAGCTCGAGAGGATCTTTCAGAATTTCATTTGATAACCAAACAACTTTGAAAGAAGCAAACATAAGGAAACCTGATCAAACTCCAATTTCTGATCTTTGACTTTGACAGAAATAACCGGGTAACCCTTCTGCTGTGTCCATGAATTCATTAGTTTGTTTACAGGTTCACCAGATCCCTCCTCAAGGGCAGCCCACAAATCTTCTGTCTTTGCATTTGAGTAAGCATGCTTTTTGATATATGAAGCAAGTGACCTCTGGATGCATTAAAAAGTAGCAT